ACCAAGTTCACTGGAATAAAACGAGTCATTTAACCAAGTTTCAGTGAGAAGTATAAAAATAAAATCGAAACAAGCTACATTACACTTAAAATTAAATAATTTTGTTCTAAGCCCTCGACAATTTTGATAGAAACCAAAAGAATCTACATAACCAGGCGCTGGTTTCTTGAGGTAGAATTGCCGTTTTTTGAACGCAATTTCACAATTGAAGGAATTCCATTAACGTATGAAATGTTTATATCTTTATAGTATTAATTTAAAACAATTATTTTTTGTTCTTAATTATTTTTTTTGTAAATACTATTTTAAATCAACTTTTCGCGATGTTTTCAAGTGTGCAATTAGACTTTTTCTATCACTTCTAAGTTATAATATTATTAAAAAATAGTATTTACATATNAGTTTATGAAGCTTTTGGAATAATCCACCAATTTTTTAAAATTAAACACTATCTAAAGATTTGCATCGAAGCGTTTTTTTTTGATAGTGATTTTAATCACTGTCAGATATCATTATACTTGATCCATCTATACCACGTCACCACTGTGCTGCGACCCCACTGTGCTGGGTTTTTTTTAATTGTTTAAAGTTGGTTTTTGTAAATGTTTATAGTAAAAAAAAATCATTTATTTTACCATAACTTTTAGCTCAATTCAAGTTTGAAATTGACATCATTAAATAGACAATTTTATGAAAATTAAAAAAAATTGTATGGTTAAGATTAATATGCAGTCCGAAAGTTTTATAATTAGTATTTATTGTAAATTTATCAGAAAAAATCAAATTTTTTTTGCATTTTTATCGTAATAGATAATTTAAATAGAAATAATAGTAGTCATTTCCTAGATACTTTTGGTGTTTAAACACATTCAAAAGTTAACTTTTTGTGAAAAAGTTGTCATTTTGAATACCCCCCTGTCGGCTGGTAAAGGGTTAAATTTATAAAAAAAATATACCAAATGATAGGTAAAGACATCATGCATCTATATAAAAAAAATTTCCTGATCCATACATTTTACGAAAAATTATAGCATTATTAAGTTAAAAATATAAAAAAGAATTTTTTTACAAAAATTGTAATTTTTATTAACTTTGATGTCTATGATGTGTATTGTTCGTTTCACAACAAAGACAAGTCCAGAGGTCAAATTTTTGTCTTCATAATAAAATGCATTACATTAACTTTAATTTAAAATATATATAATAGTGTCAGACTTTCCGGAACACTTTCAAAAGTTAAGTGTAAAAATAAACTTTTTGTGAAAAGTTGTCATTTTAAATCACTTTCTGTGGGCAGGTAAAGAGTTAAATTTATAAATATAATATACAAAATGATAGGTAAGGATATCAAGCAACTACAAAACAAAAAAATATATGTTTTTTTGTTGATTTTTGAAAAAGTTATGGAAGTTTTAAGAAAAAAAAATGAAAAAAATGACAAAATTTATCGATTTTTAAATTTGTAATTTTTATGGAGGTTCCCCCATTTACAAAGAACGAGGGAATTTTTTCAATTTTTGAGGGTAATTTCTTCGACTAGATACGATTTGTGATCTATTGGCGTATTGCTGAAAGAAATCGGTCCAGTGAGAGTTGAGAAAAAGTGGTAAGAGACACAAAAAAAAAGAAAACCCAGCACAGATAGGTCGTGGCACAGTGGTGACGTGGCATAGATGGATCAAGTATAATGATATCTGACAGTGATTAAAATCACTATAAAAAAAAAACGCTTCGATGCAAATCTTTAGATAGTGTTTAATTTTAAAAAATTGGTGGATTATTCCAAAAGCTACATGATCTGCTAGTTCATTATTAATATCCTAATTAAGATAAAGTATGTCGAATGAAAAAGGGATTATTAAAAAATATTATTTCTCATAAAAAAATAATGTTGATCCATACACTTTTCAATATGTCATAGCATTATAAAGTTAAAAATGTAAAA